CAAAAATCTGAAGAGGAACAGGGACTATCCCTAAAAGACAACTGTAGCTCTGAAACATATTAGGAATTAAACAGACATCAGTGACCCACTTTTGAGACAAATTGTTAGTGTAAAACCTTTAAAAAAGAAAAAATCACATTTTTTTCTCAAGGAAGTTCAGCAGCAGGTGATTCTAGCTAATGTAGCTGACTGATATAAAGCCGCTAAAATGGGAAATTCATAGAAATGGCAATTTCCCTGTTACTCACTGACTACAAGCAGGATGAAGAACCTGTTTTAATAGACTGTGGGTCTTAGTAAGAAATGAAGAATCCTCTATTATATTAGGTCAAGTTGTTTATTGTCAGAGGTCACAGCAGTTGCTTAGCAGAAGATGCTCCTTCAACTTCAGCTAGTCACATGAAGAGGCAGGCTGCAGTAGTCCTGGTAGTATTACTGCACCTCCAGTGACACCCAGACACCCTGTTTAGACCTGTGTATATGGTAAAACTAAAGGCATCCAGCATTAAACACAGAATATATCACTGTCAGTGATGTCTGCATGTGAGAATACAGAGAAAAATACAATTACAAAATGTATTGCGGATTAAATACACCATAGGAAGAATTTAATTTTTCTACTTACATAACCCTCATACATTTGGAAATACACTGGCTTTCTTTCTAACTAAATAACGTGTATTTCCCTAACAGTATCTTAAAATTCTTCACTTCATGCATTGACAGCTAACATAGATCTCGCATAACTTGTTTTTTCTCTGAAGCATATGTAAGGAAGGACTTAGTTCATGTTACAAATGAACTATGCCACTTTCTCTGAAACCTACAAAATATATGCAAATAATATATGTGAAGTCATAGGGTCTTTAAGACAGGCCACTGGTATCTAAAAGGATTGTTTAAATTTATTGTTATGTGCATGTAAGATAACAACGAAGCAATTTAACAATTTTCTTATGTTCATGACAAACATTCCTTTGTGCTTCTAAAAATTATTCTCAGTATGCCGTATAACAAGTTTCTGACCTGCAAACAAATCGCTGAGATTTAACACTCTCATTTACAAAAATGTTAGGGTATTATTCTGGTTTTATAGAATATTTGTGGAATTAGTTTTTTACCATATAATTTACTCTCCTCTCATTAATATTTTAAGCTTCCAAACCTAATGACACATTCCATTGTTTACAGTTGTTCAGCAGAATTTAACAGATGCAGGTGTAAAGTTAAACCTGAAACTATTTAGTGTATCTACTGAAAATGCTAACGTCTAAATAAAAAGGGTGAAGGAATAGAAGCTTCCATTGGATAGTGCAACAAAAATTTTCACTCAGCAAAATTCTGAAAAAAGCTGTGGTTTCACTGGAAATGGGAAAAGTTAAATTCCACAAAATAATTCTTTAATTTTGGAAAGCCTTTACTGTAAATGCTGCCAAAATGTTGAATCTCCACTTGATGTTAAACTTGCAAATAGAACATGGGAAATCAGCAGGTCATGTGCATGATTAAAGTAAAAACTGTCAGTGCTGGAAAAAACACATTGTCAAATAAAGCTGAAGTTGGATACAAATGTGTTCCTCACCATAAAAACAGCCAAACAAGCAATAGCTATCAGTGTTACTTTTCTTTGTGGCATTTTGCACCAAGTGTGGTTAAAAACAGCCACTTACCTGCTCAGATAATTTCAGCCCATTGCTACGAGCCTGTACAAGAGCATCATTAACAAGTGAATGAAAGTTAAGAAGCACATGCTCAATGTCGTATGTTCCACTCATGGCACTTGACAGCTCCTCCAGGGACAGAATATATCCCCGCCAATGAAGATCAACTTCTGCCATGTTAGCTAAGCAGCCTCGGATGACGTTGAGGCAGTAGCCCATGCAGGGCTTACTTAAAGTCAGCCCTTGGCAATGGGGGCAGTACTGCATCCTCAGCAAGGCTCTGCTGCAATCTTTAGAGAAATGAAGATGATCTGTTGTATTGATCACTTCAATGCCCACATTCAGAGCCTGCAAGAAAGTCCGGCTGGGTAGCAGTGATCTTCCTATTTGTCCTATGGCTTTTTTGGGAACATTACCAAAGGGTCTGATGCCTCTTCTTGCCATTCGGAGGCACTCCGCATATTCCAGTGAAATGTCCGTCAGACCAGGGTTAATCACATGGTTGTAGACTACTGGGAGCAGGTTGTCAAAAAATCTGTTGACAAATTCCTCCGTGCTAATATCTGTGCCAAATATGAAGAGTCCCACATCTGTGAAAAACTCCTGAACACGTGTAGTAGCCTCAGCAGCCATGTTTCTATACGTATTGCAGAAAAGTGTGCTTGTGTAATTCTCGGCTAGTCTGATGAGCATTTCAAAGGTTTCTGTAATAAATGAAAAAAAAGTTCATTATTTTTTTAAGGTTTAAAAAATAAGAAATTAGAGTAAGAACTCAAACCAGTTATATCAGGACACCTTACATTTACTCCAAATGCCTTTTTGCATTAGAATTTATGAAGAGACAATTACCTTATAAGTAACGTTAGAACACAATTAATAAGCCATGTTTTCTTTTCAAGATATATTAAACACAGTCTAAAAAAATATAAAAGGAAATTGAATGTAAGCTGAGTTATTAAATTACAAAATACAACAAACCACTACTGTATCTGCTTATATATACACATACATTAGTTCTCATCTCATCCCATCTCATCTCATGACTCATTCTGCAAGTTTCAGCAGCAAGTTAAATGCTCTCAGTCACTCCATGTTACTTCTCTGACCATCCTAAATGGATGGGCAAAAGTACCATTAAACAATTTAAACAACTCTTCCATTCCATTACAACAACTTTTTAAAAGAGCAAAGAGATTTGTCTTCTTGTCTTCCAAAGGAAGGAGGTGAATCAGATACACATGTGAATGTGTTTTTAAACAGTGTTTTACAGTGTTGTTTGTTGGTCAAGCAAAGTGCTGGAACATGCAGAATTGCTCTCCTTAGGCACTGTGGTGGATACACCCCCTCTAAGCCTCAAGATCTGCATAACCGGTAAAGCCTGAATGGATAAACTTCCATTTCTTTTCAGGTGTTAGGTGGCAATCCTTAAGTACACTGAAAAGCTTTCAATAAAATAGTTAAAGTACACTGGAGAAGTATTGTCTCCTGACTTGATCTATGATTTGCAGGTAAGGAAAAATGCTGGTTTTCAAGACAGAAAAAAAGAGTGTTTGCATTAAGGAATTTCCTAGATCTGTCTGAGAAGCTTATACTTCAGGGAAGGCAAGGGAGCAATACATAGATCAAAAGGAAACTTACTTTAGAGAATAAAAATACATAGAAACACATATTACAAGTATTAACCCACTTTTATCCACTGGATGGCTATGACTCAGTAACTTTCTTTTATTCATTCAAGCTTTACAAGTTTTCATGTATTTATTTTTTCACACTCTTTTTTAATGGGACTCTATAGAAATAAAGTGAGGAAAAGCATGAAGTACAGCTAATACTGTCCAAACAGTGATGTTAAAAATAGGCAGAATCAAATAGTGTCAAACTATGTCAGCAACCTGAAGTCTGATGTTAAGTCACTGACTGAAAGGAATAGTACAAAACTCAGAATAATTTTAATACAATAACCAAGACTGGCTATCACATCTTTAATACATATCTATGCATAAGAATAAATGTTTTATATTCTGATAAAAAGCTTCTTCAGGTCAGTGAAATGACTTTCACTAACTTAGTGGGTTTGAAATTGCAGACTTTGTGAGAAGATCACGGAGAAGACATATTAAACTAATCTATTTATACTTTCTATGCATTCTTTGTTTTCTCTAATAAAAATCAGATACATGCTTATAAATCAGAGTCTTTACCTCTATTCCTCTGCTATCTATTAACTCATTTCTTCATATTCCATACCACCCTTAAGACTGAGTTTGCTACCTCTCTCGTTTCCATTCCTCTAACATTCACATAAGTAAGAAAAAAAACTGCTGACTGCCCAAAGTAAAGAGACCAATGAAGACCTATCCAATACAGCAAAGCCTCTTCCGTTCATCCCATGAGCTGACATGCCTAAATGCCAGTTGAGTACCCTGGCAGACCACAGCCTGCCACCACGGACCGGCTCTGTGACTTTTCTCAACCTCAGCACCTCATGTCAGATTGTACCTGAGACACCTGCACTGCATCTCGTGTTTGTAGGTGTGTATATGTGTCTAGGTGACCCATGTCCTTCTGCAGCAGCAGATGAGACACAATGTAAGAGAGAAGGCAAATCAAGATGCCCACTTTAAGGTGGCTGAACCGAGGATGAGCTCTTCACCAGCTATAAAGGCAGTCTGGACACCTGGCTCACATTGAGGCACGTATACACGGACAGCTAAATTACAGCCCTAAATATCCTACTGTACATTATGTCTCATTTTTATTGGAAGGAACAAGGAATGCCAAGAAAGTACAATCCTGCTATGGAGGCTTCATTTAGTTGCCCCAGAGTGGTGGATGGTAGATGCTCTACACTGCCTGTCTGGAAGGCCATGGTTATCCTGCAGGTCCTCTGTCACATCTGCAGGCTTTGTGTGGATGTGTCACATTTAAAATGGTACTAGATGACTGTGCTGAGACAACTGAACGAAATTCTAGATACTCGGTTATCACTGACTCAGGAACCCTTCATATAAAAGCTTGCAGCAGCCAGAATAAAAAAGACAAAAATTTAAGTCAAATTTCTTAGATGGTTTAGATGGTTTAAAATAACAAAGTGTGAAGACTATTAAATCCTGCTAGAAAAATGGCTATTTTTGTAACTGCAGATTCCGTCTTTTACACAAATTTTGCCAATGTTTCAGATGAAATTTCTTGGAAGTAGGTAATGTTAGAATAAAGATGTTATATTAATCTGGTTAGAATTACATTAATAAGGTTTTTGTGACCTTTCTCAATTTTTTATTATTATCTTTTCCTAGATGAAATCCATAAAGTGTGTGATGTAAAGTATCTGTTACAATCCATGGCTGCAGTATCCTATTACCAAGAGCACAAATATTAGATGAAAGAATAAATCATGCTGCACATGGATAATCAATAGATTTTACAACATGGTCTAATCAATAACAAACCTTCATGACTGAACTACATTGCTAGTGCCCCAGCAACCCACAAACAAATGAGTACAACACTCAGCTGCATTATTTATTGACTATTTGTGCTTTTCTAAATAGCATATGATAATACTGGCCACTTGGGTTTACAATTCTGCATCATGCTATTTAATCGTCATTTTAGGATTTATTACAAAATTTTTTAATCAAGTTTATTCTAGGGGCACGTGTCCTACTTTAACACCGCCACAGCTATTCCAGAGATTAGTTTTGCTCTCAGACAGCTTGAAGAATGACTGACAGCAAAGCAGACCATGTCTACTTTCACTACTGAACAGCTCCTGTGAACACCTTGCGATGGCAATCTGTGTCATTTTCAACACTTTCAGAGACTTCAGTGACAAACCAAGCTATGTTGGTTCAATACTGCAAGTGTATCATAGATCTAACAATGTGTTTCTCTGTCTTTTAAGTCTATGGGCCCAGACTAACACCATCAATCTTAACTATTCAGCCACATAGAAGAAGTGGTGAGTTTTCAATCAGTATAAATCCAATACATATAAAAGACATTGTAAATATAACCAAGATAGGTCAGACAAAGTCTTTTTATTATTATTAAATTATTTTTTAATCTGCAGGGTCAGTGCATCTTATCTCCATCTTTTACGAGATATTCATAGAAACTGATATACAGTAACCTACAGACACCTTCTGCAGCACCACTGTGAATAATGTCTAGCATTTACTGTGGGTGACAGGTCAACTATTTTTCTTTGGCTACACTTAAAGTGATGATTTGTACACTCCTAAGGCAAAAAATCAAGGCTGTTAACATACTAACACATTAATTTTTTGAAAGTACAGTGATATCTCCCTTCCTGGTTTTGCTAGGAAGGAACAAAATGTAAGGCTAGGGGAAAAAACGTAGACATGCACTTGTTTGTTTTATATATTGCATTCATTCAGCTGATTCTTCATATCAGTACATACTTTTTTTTTAGGATAGTGCATTTAACAAAGTGATCGCAAAGTGATATAAAATATTTATCAGGTCATTGCTTTAAAAGATTTTCAGTCTTTCATTCATTTACTTCAACTTTTCTGTTCCTGAGAGCCATGGGCAGTTCTAAATTATAAAGATATCACAATATAGTAAACAGTCCAGTGGATTACTGGCTTTAAAGACAACACAGAAGTATATACATGCCTTGTTTACTAGAAAAACTCACAAAGAGAACAAAAAAGAAATCTTGGTTTATATTCCTGGACATTAATCAGATTTAATGGAAATACTGCATAGAATGAAATTGAATTTTGATTGGATTTTAAACCAACTATGCAATTCTTATCCTTAAGAGTTTTGGCAAAGTGTCTTTCTAATACAGGTACCTTAGAAAATTAATTTAAAACAAATTTATGTGGAATTGTGTTGTTATAAAAGCAACTGCATTTCTTAAGTTTGCTCTTTCTTCACACAGATAAATGTTCCATACAAGCTGCTAAATGAGAAAATGCATGGTCTAAATTCTGAGTGTTACCTTTTGAAACATCCATAGTAATTAATACAAAAATAGTCTAATAAAATAAAAATCCAGAATTAGTATCAGGCCAACAAGTTGTGAAGTCTTATATTTCAGTAATAATTCACCAGCCTACATTGCATATCATAAACTAATTCACACTTAAACAGAGTAATATATAGAACTCAATAAATTATAAAGAGACAGGTTAAAATCCATCCTTGAACTATGGACGCTGTATTTAGGAAGAATGCCTCCTACAGTCCAGGAGGGATCCAAAACTGATGAACCTGGATTACGTTAAGTATCAGCCCATAATATACAGGAATCCAGATAACTAAATCCAAGCAAACGCTGGAACAAACTAATAATATTATGAATTTAATATGACTTGAAACATCCTATGGGAAAGTATCAGGCTGTTGCCAGTTGCCATTAATGTTCGGTGATTTCATATGTTTTCCTTCTGTTTCTGGACAGTGCAAATAATCCAGAAGCATCAAACTCTCTCTATTAAAGATTTCTAGTCCAGTCTTGCATACATCGTCCTATTGAAGTCAAGGGGAATGTCTTGGGTACAATTTACAGCTGCAAACAGAAGACATTCATGGAAAAGCATAATTATGGAAAAGGAATTAATCCACCCAGTACTATATACATAGGATCTTTATTTGTTTAAAGCATACAAAACAGGAAAATACATATAGGTGGGAAATTCAGTGCAATCATTCCTAACTACAAAGTAGTACA